TGTGCCCAGAGGGGAGGGGACGGTCTCTGACTGTCTCCATCGGCTCGCTCTGCCCTGGGCAGGGGTCCCACGGCGGTTCCTGGGGTATGTGCCATGCCTCGGTGGCAGGGAGCAGCCCAGTGAGCGTGTCCCAGGGGCGCAGGGGAACTGGGAAAGAACCTGGCTGAAGGGAATTAACTGGATGCCAACACCCTGCTCCAGAGAGCAAACTTGGTGCTTGTGCGTGAACCTCTAACTATGGCGAGCTCTCAGCACCATTTTCTGGAATTAAAGCAGGAGTACCAGTAGACCACACCTCACCCCACATTTCCACTTGCTCATCATTACAGACTCGTTCTTATCACCCTGGCCTGACGATCGCCTTTTTCACCTGTGCGGAGGACAGTCACATTTCCACCATCATCTCCCTTTTAAGACTAAGCAGGTGACTGAGTTTGGGATCCTCCATTCCCAGGGTTTAGCATGTCCCTGCAGACCACGTAACACTCGTGCTGAGCTGCATCTCCCAGCCTGTTCCTTCCGAGCAGCAATAACAGGACTTGATGCAACTGCATGAATCAAATAAGACCTCCAGCGCTTAATCCTGTACCATCACGTTTTGCTCCTCAATTCTGTTCTTGAACTGAAGATGTTTTTTCACTGAGCTTTCCTGATGGCATGTCTCGGCTTGTCTTTCCTAATACACAGAAAAATGTTGGGTACAAAAAAGAATCATCTCAAGTTTAACTGAGCTGTTTCTTCTCAGAATTTCATCAGCGCCTGTTTTCCTTGTTTTAAAACCAAATTCTAGACTTTTTTCCCAAATGTCCATGACAATTTTAAAACAAACCAAACATCCTACTCTTCCATCTGGCTTACAGATGGGAACTTGGCACTTGGTTTCCATCTCTGAGCGTGCTATTGCCTCTCTGGCGTGCCCCAAGCCCCGTGGCAAACCCCACTGCGGCATCCCATCACAGCTGGCACGCAAGGCTGGTGTTTGCCATCCGCCAACACAAGTTGTGTGCTGCTCATGGAGAAAGAATAGCATTCCTCCTCCTTTTGCTTCACTTACAGTCTCCCTCAGAGCAACTGCTAACTCCAGACCACAGATGACGAGTTCACAGCCACCCTGGGATGCGAGTGCTGGGGCACCTCCTGTGCCGGCCGTGGCTACTGGGCACTGGCCACGCAGCCATGGCAGCCCACAGGGCACGCTGGGCATGTCTATGTGTGGGGGCTGCGCCCACACTGCCACTACAGCCCACCCATGGCCAGGAGCGGGACAAGCTTCCCCAGTACCCCCTGCCCAGGACACATAGGCATTGTGTGTGCCGATGGCTTCGCTTTG